CTTAACAAAAGGTTACGAAGGAAAAATGATTGGATTGGTTTCCTCTTGAAAAAGGCAAGAAAGGTCCTTAATAAAAGGCTGGCCGAATTTGTGAAAGTCGTTCGAATAGTATATATAATCCCTTGTGCATAAGACAGTAAAGGATTTAACTTGGTGATGAGGATACTTACAAAAGGTAAGCAGACCACACTTTGTCCAAAAGGAAACGAAAGGACTTACAAAAAATAGGCGAAGAGGGGGAACCTCCCATTAAAAAAGCAAGAAGGAGCTTGCAAAAGGAAAGTAATAGAAGAAGAAAAATTCAAGGGAATCCTATCAGGATATTCAAAAGAAGATTTTTTGATTTCGAGAAAGACTTGAATCTGGATTATGTTAACCGTTCATGTAATGATGATTAATGTATGAAAAATGTTGATGCATGCTCGGGCTTCTAGGGATATGAGGATATGGATTCATGGGTTATGAATGTACCAAGTACGGTTGGGCTTTGGTCTTGAAAAGGAAATAAGCTTAACTTCTTGATACCTTTGTCTCTTGACAATGGTGTAGTAAGGTTTAGATCTTCTTAGAACCTCAAGCTGGTTTTAAATAGACAAGTTGTGTTGATTATCTTGAGCTAGATTGTCCTTGACTTGATTAATTCTAGGTGACCCTTGTGATTTGATGGTGTTCTGTGCACCACGTATGTCATTTGGATACAGTGGTTATCCCTTAGATGCCTTTCTAGAAAAAGTTAACTTAGTATTGTTTGAGTTCCTAATAAAAGTTTCATTCGAGTGTGCAAAATCCTCGCCTAAGAGACTTGAAGTGTCATCAGCCATGCCAGTTATATAACTTCACTTAAGGGTATGAGAGTCCCATCGAACAGGATTAATTAAACACCTCACCTGAGGGACTTATTTTTTCCTCGGGCGGTATCCAACATAAGTCTCACTCAAAAGATGTAGCTAAAGTCTGGTTAAGATGTTAGACATGTGAATTCACACACAAGAGGGGGGTGAGGTGTGTGGTTCTGGAAAACCTTGCGAATTATAATTAGATTTTAAAATTATTTTTAAAAAATAGTTTAAATATTAAGCAGCAGAAAATAAAGATTTGAGGGAAAGAGAGAACACCTAGGATTATAGAGGTTCGATAAAACGAGAAAAAAAACATACTCCTCTCCTCGAGAATTAATCTTGAGAGTATCTAATAACCATTGTGAGATTTTAGTAAGCAATACTCACGAACCTCCTTATACAACGAAAACAATTGACTTTCAACAAAACACTAAGACTAAGAATTAAGTAGTTTGAGTCTTGTCTTGCAAACAGCAGATCTTAGTGCAGTATATTAAAATGGTTAGTCTTCTTTCCACAAGAATCTTAGTGCAATTAGTCTTATTTCCACGAGAATCTTGGAGTGGTTAGTCTTCAAGCTTCTAAACCAACTTTGTAAGCATTTACCACGGGTTGAGCTAACGAACCTTAAACTTTGATTTTACACGGGTTAACCAATAACCAGGGAGATTTTAATACCACTAATCTCAAACCTTATCCAAGATTTTAATACCAAGCTAAGATGGAACCTAATATTGGTTTCACCACAGGCTAACCAAGAACCTTAGGAGAGATTTTACCATGGGATGATCTAGAACCTAAACAAGGGCTTGATCACACAATCCCTAAACCAAAAGCTTTTATAGGTTTAACTTCTAACCCAAACAATCCCTAAATGGATAATATTCAACCGAAGTGTAAATAAAAATTCCCTTGGTGAGTTTTACAATTCTACCCTTCAAGAATTGCAACTTATCCTCACTCACAAAAAGACTTTCTCGAATAAGCACTTAGGCTAAAATATTAATGAGAGAAAATAAAGAAAAATTTTAGAGGGAGAGGGAGAGAGTGAGAAGTGTCAAAACCCAATTTTGGATGATTTTAAATGAGGGAAATGACCTCTATTTATAGGCTAGAGGTTTCCTCAAAAAGAAAATTGATTTTAATGATTTTTAATTCAAGCTAATCGATTATAATATAATGCTAATCAATTAGATAATTAAAAGGTAATATATTACATGTTCAAAATAGTAAATAAAAGATATCTAGTCGTTATACATCATTAAGGTGTTGTTCTAATTGCTTAGAGCTCAATTTCAATCTAAGCTAGTCGATTAGAATAATATTTTAATCGATTAGCAAAGACAAAAAAAATATTTTTATTATTCTGACATCTTCCAACTCATCTGGCACAACTTCAATAAATTTTAAAAAATATTTTTTTGAGGAAAATCAGTTTGAAAAGATGCTTTTGTGTGTGTGTGTGTGTGTGTGTGTGTGTGTGTGATTTAGCCTTGCACTTTTACAAGAACTCCCTTATGCTTTTCAAAGTATACACTCAGACTATTTATGGTAGGGCTTTCTTGCACCTCAAGACTTTGTCAGATATTTCCTTTTGTGGACACTTGAGATGAGGCTTTGAGTTTGCATTCCATTTTATTGGCATCACCAGATGTCAAGTCCATCAAACCATAATACTTAGGTTTGTATCTATATACGGTTAATCGTTTATGCTTGACGTATTATAAGACCTTAATTAGTTGTCTTCATCAAAAGTTGTTGTCCTTGTTTAAAGCATATCACCTATAAAACAAGGTTACACACTCTCCCCCTTTTTGATGATGACAAAACATCTCTCAGGGGAGGTGGCAAAGGAAAATAACACATATATGTTTGGAGTAATTAAAGCCCATCTCAATTAAATAGAGAGTATACTCTACTCCCCCTGAGAGTATACTTCTCCTACTTTGTCGAAATCAAAATGGCGGGTAAAGATGCATTATGGGAGGTAAATATGAAGATATAGGCAGAAAAAGCATTTAGGAAAGGAAAAATCATTTTGTTATTTATTAAAGATACTTAGAATTCTAAGTATAAGAATGAAAATTACATAATTGAAATTGTGAAAATCAGGAAATTATAAGAAATTTAAACAAATAGGTGAGACTATTCTATGCCATAATTATCATCATTCCTTTCCATTATTTTCTTCATATCCTCGGCTAGAGTTTGTAAAATTTGCAGCACCTTGTCTCTCTTGGTGTCTTCTTCCTCAGTCGGTTCATCTTATCCTTATTCCTTAAATGATATTTCTTAATCTATTTCTCCATTCTTGATATGAACTTAAATTTATTTTATGGCACGGTGGGTGATCCTATGGCTAGTTAGTCTTGTGCTTCCGTCATGGTGTCAATGTTGAATGTGGCTAGAAGTCATGTGATTATTGATCCAAATGGCAGCCTTGCAGATGAGATTTATTTACATCAGATCATGTGGTTGAACACACCTACTACCTAATTGGCTGAGATTTCTTGGGTTAGGAGCCATAAAGATACTACATCTTCTCTAACTATATAGTTATGGTTTATGATCCTTGGAAATAGGATTTTAGTGAGGAGGTAGTGGCAGATCCTAAGATTTATCTTTAGATGAGTGGATCTGAAGGGAGCCTTTTTCTTTTCCATAGGGTTGATCACAATAAGTTTTTGAAACATACTGGTTTATCAAGAGTGTTGGTTAATCCTTTAGTGGGAAGTTCAAAATTTCTCCCAAAATGACCCTTGTGAAGTGCATCTTGCACTCCTCTTACGGATGCTCTCAAGGAAGGTCCCACAAGTTTCAGATTTAGGTATAACTATTTTAATAAGTTTTAGGAAGGTCCTATCCGGTATTTGGGTGACAAACTCTTTGAGGGAAGCTTGGCAAATTTGGTGATAAGGCTTGTGACTTTTCAAGAGACTTAGTTCCAGGTACCAAGGTTGAACTACTTTCTTGGCTAAAATTGTCATTTTTTTTCTTCTTGTTTGTGATTTATTAAGTACATAATGAAAGGATTTATTCTTGGTGTTTCTTTGGGCTTTTGGTTTGAGGAGGCCATGGTGAAACTTATGGAAGAAGAGCTCTCACAAGAAATGATGTAAGAAAAATATGAATGAGTTGCAAGGAATATTGAGGGAAGCATACATATTCGTAACGTGCCATTTGAAGATTTGGTCATGTATTTCTGGCAAGCATTCAATGTAGATTGTGTTAATCAAAATCTTTACAGATTAAATATGTTAATTGATTCCAGCCATATTTTCCAGGATCTTATGCAATCTTCATTAAGTTGGGATTTGATTTTCTTGAGGTACGAGTTTTGCTTGGATTTGATCTCAAAATCAGCGTGTCAAGCTTTTCTAATATGTTGTCATAACATGCTAACCAATCTTACTTTATATTCTTTTATAACGTGTACATTATGTTTTTTTCACGTCTTTGTTTTATTCACCTTGTTAGAATATGATTTTCACATTTATCGGTCTATACAATTATACCTAATAATTTTATTTTTTTATTGCGATTTATTTATACTTAATCTCACAAAAAACAAACTCAAATATTGTAAAGTCAGCATGAAACAGATCAAAGTTCAAATCTAGAAATTATAATCGTAAACTTAATAAAAAACAAAATTACTACCTAACTTGAAACTAACTTACAAATAAAACCAAAATCGAATGACGCTCAATAGTACACGACATTCGAAACCAAATGAAGGAAAAAAAAAACAAAAAAAAAATATATTTGTAGATAATACTATTTATTTTTTAAAAGGGATTTAGACCAATAAAAAACTCTAACTATTTAAGACATATTATCTCAAAGAAAATAGCATATAAAATTTATAAAATTTATTTTATATCCTTTCTTCTTTTCAACCTAGTTATATTTTACCTTTACTTATATCTATCACTTTAGTTATATCTATTAATTTGAATGCAAGAAATATAAATAACTTCAAATCATGTGTTTTCGCCTAAATCACACTAAATCATAAACAAAATAACAAGAAAATTTTCAAACAAGTTCAATTATATCATTGAAAATTAATGTTATTATATTTATTTTCGAGGCAATTTTATATAACCAACAAATTAGAGACAATATCTAGAGAATAAATTCTCAGTAACTTTAATTAAGTTATTTTAAGTAAGATCTTGCTATATGGCCATTTCCTCCTTTAGGGTAAAAGCCTCCCGGGACAGTTTCATTTCCACTTCCATATACAATCCTCAAAATTTCTTTTGGAGTCCTTGAATATGCTAGTGAATATTTGTCACCAGCAAGAATACTTCCAGAGGAAAATGTGTCATCAAGTCCCTCATCTTTCACACCTTCGTTACCTAATACATTCCTAAGCTTTGAAATGCGATCAGTGAACTCTCCCACAGTTATTCCATAAGGAGTCACCTTCCATGCACGTCGTTCATATAACAATCCTCTTATAACGGCATCTTGACCTGACTCCACTCCTAGAAGACCGGCTACTAGCTGATACATTACATATGGTTTAGATTTTAGAGTTCATAATTTAGATTTTAGAGTATATATATATATATTATTAGCATAAAGTTCATAATTTAGATTTTAGAGTTTAAGGTTACAGTTTACGGTACCTGTCTAGAAGAAGCATTCTGGAGGAGTGGATTTGCTCCAACATATCCGGTAAGACCCACATAAGGAATCAAATAAGACGCAATCAAATAGTTGATATCATTTGCATATGGATCAAAAGAAGGGCGCAAAGGTCGTCCAAAAGCTTTGTCAATCACCTTAGCAAATGAGGAATGACTTAGATCTAACAAAGGCCTAGGGAACCCTATCACAGTGTTCTTTATGGCCCTGCAATTAAGATTCATACAATTTTTAATACTTTTGAAATATATATATATATATATATATATATATATATATATATATATATATATATATATATATATATATATATATATATATATATATATATATATATATATATATATATATATATATATATATATATATATATATTCACCTGCTCAAGGTGGAAAACATCCGTCTATATCGGTTAATATATATATATATATATAATGAAATTATAGAAGATTTATAAAGTAATAGAAAGAGAACCTCAAATGTCCAACTTCTTGAAGTGCAAATTGATATATAATATCTCTAATCACAGTGTCATTGAATTTAGCCAACTTTGCGCCAATAGGAGTTGGTCCACCCTCAGCTAACGCAGGAGCAACTTTATCCAAGCCATGACCAGTTGATCCAAATAAAAAGAATTCAGCCTCTAAATACTCTAAATTAAGAGGAAATTCGAGAAGATTAACATCTGATAATAATGTTTCTGAGTTTGCAGTTGAACTTGCAACGAGGGAAACAATCAAAACAACAATGGAGATGTAATGTGTTGCCATGTTTTAGACTTTTTTTTTTCTTATGAGGATGATGAATATGTCACTCTATCATAATGCTCTTATATACAAAGTACGAGTTCATTAATTCATTGCATTGGGACTCTAAAATATTAGTTATTGTATTGGAACTCTAAAATATTAATTATTGACTATAAATTAGAATTTATGTTAATAACGTATTATTTCATGATTTTTTCAAAATAAAGTTTAATTTTTTAACTAAAATGCCTAACTTTTAGTATTTTACCTAAAATACCTAAAATGATAATTTTATAAAATAAAAATAGAAAAACAACATTTAATGTTAAGTATTTTATAGATTATTTTTATTTTTATGTGTGTATTATCTTTTAGCAATTTTGACTCGTTTTACTCTCTTTAGATATATATAATTACTTCTCTATTAAAAGATATTAAATTGGTCCAACTTTATTCATATATTTTATGTCACTGTATGGTAACAATCCATGGATTTATTGTATTCTGTCTCAAAATATATTAATAATATTAATGAAAGTTTAGGAGATTTCAAATATATTAAATATATATATTTTAGACATTTTTTTACGATGATAATGATAAATATTGTACTCTATTATAATGCTCTTATATACAAATTAACAACTCTTTGATTCATTGTATATATTATTGCAGTAAAAGTATTAAATGTTTACTATAAGTTTTAATTTATACTAATAACATTAATGAAAATTTTAAAGATTTTAATAAGGCAAAAATATTGTCTAAGTCCGTTAAGTTATTTTAAAATATCAAATTAGTTTTTAAATTTTTTTTTGTAACAATTTGGTTTTTTTATGTTAAATAACGCTTTGCACAGTTGATCTTTTTAAAAACCTCTCTTTTAAAAAAGCCTACGTGGCACAAACGGAGCACATGTGATATTTAACAGCGATTATGTGTCATTTTATTTTATTATTTATGAATTTCACGTGGATTTTAATTTTAATTTATTTTTTTTTAACTGGAAGGACCTAATTGTTATATTTTAAAAACATATTGGACGTGGGTGTTACAAATTAAAATATAACTAATACGTTGTTTTACACTATTTTGAATTTTAAACAATAACTAATATTTTTTTTTACACTATTTTGAACATTAAACAATTACGAGACAACATCCAAGTATTAAATAATCTAAATATTGTAAAAATCATTGTTATAATGTTATAAACCAATACATACATAAACAAAATCATACAACAAAATAACTTCAAACAATATAACAACAAAAAATCGATGTAAATGTAAACATCAAACGATTCTTTTATAATCAAACATCAAAGAACAAAAATTAGAAACAAATAATTTACAATAAAAAAGATCATTTAGTGAAATTAAATTGAAATAAATAACAAATAAGTATAGGATGGAAAAGGTTAAATTGAAAAAAGATACAGATGATTGAGAAATAGATAGAAAGAGAGAAGAAATAAGATAGAGTTTTTTGGATTCACTTCTCTTTCATATTGTGACAAACTATGTAAAAGAAATAAGTGCAACAAATATAATAAAAATAATTAATTGTACAATCAGAACACATTAGTCTCACTCCAAAGCATTAGAAGAAGAAAATAAACATGATTTAAATTAAAATAAAAAATTTTTAAAGAATATTCGACTTCTTTATTGATCATCAATCTTGACCGTAAAACCTTTATTTGTATTTAATAACAATCAAGTGGTAGAAAGAATGAGAGAAAATAAAATTTGATAGAATGAGATAAAAAAAACTACAATCAAATGTTATAAGATATTTAAAAATTATTAATACATAAATGTCATAAACTTAATGAAAACATATTGAATATGCAATCAAGTCATGTTATAATGACATTGAAATAAATTAATAATAATAATAATAATATTAGTAACTACCATTAAACTGTTACGAAAATTTCTCATAATAGCGCGCCAAAGAAATAAAACTACTCGTATTAGTGCATCAAAGGAAATCTGATTTTTAGATAAGGAGAGAGAAAAGATCAAACTTGACAAGATTTTTTTGTTCTGCATTTTGGGTAATAGAACACAACTGTAAAATTTAAAAAATTTAAACGTAAATGATTTAAACGGCCACAAGCTGCCGTATTTGTTTTATAAAAATTGTATTCTCATCTAGTTACTTTCATAGAGTATTTAAAATGTGGAAGTTAACTTTCTCTTTCTTCTTAGTAGAAAAAATTTCAACAGTATCCTCATCTAGTTGTCACATTTTATCTTACTAGAATATAAATTTTCAATAATTGAATAACCATATTTAAAAAATATTTTTGACAATATTTAAATTATTTAATGTTTGGTATATTGTCTTGTGGTTGTTTAAGATTCAAAATAGTATAAAACAACATATCAGTTATTGTTTAAGATTCAAAATAGTGTAAAACAACGTATCTGTTATATTTTAATTTGTAACACTCACGTTCCATATATTTTTGAAATGTAACAATCAGGTCCTTCCAATTAAAAATAAATAAATA